GAGCACTGTAGGGTTACAGGTGGAACTCGTCTTTCATCTCTTCCTCCCTCTTTTCTTTGTTTCTTTTTCTTTCATCTTTCTCTTTCTTTCTTTCTCTTTCCTTCTTTTCTTGTTGCTCTTTCCTTTTTTCTTCCCTTCTCTTTTTTCTTTCTCTCTTTCTGTCTTCTTTCTTTCTTTCTCTCTTGTTTTTCCATCTTTTTATTTTTTATTTTTTTATTTTAGATGAAATAGGTCAGCGTTGACATATTGAACATTCTGGTGGAGCAAGGGAGTATAATTGCTGGATCAAAGTCCTTGATGTGTAGGGAGATTTCCCATGCCCAAGAGAGGTGTCTTTTATTGAAAGACTAGGGGCCACAAAGAGGCTCATGCCTATAATCCCAGCACTTCAGGAGGCCAAGGTAGGAAGATTGCTTCAGCCCAGAAGGTCAAGACCAGCCTGGTGAGAAAGTTAGATCCTGTCTCTACAACAAATCTTAAAATTAGCCAAGCATGGTGGCACACACCTGTAGTTTCAGATACTTGGAAGGCTGAGGCAGGAGGATAACTTGAGCACTAGACTTTGAGGCTACAGTGAGCTATGATCACGCCACGGCACCCAGCCTGGGTGACAGAATAAGATCCTGTCTCAAAAAAAAAAAAAAAAAGAGAGAGAGAGAGAGAGAGAAAGAGAGAGAGAGAGAGAGAGCTTGCGAGAGAGAAAAAGACTAGAAGGGAACATAAAATAAGCATTGTAGTTGTAGATGTCTGTAGTTTGAGGGCAAGGTTAGATTTTGAGGCTTAATAACCTCCTTTATTTTTTATTCTTTTGAGATGGAGTTTTGCTCTGTTGCCCAGACTGGAGTGCAATGGCGTCATCTTGGCTCACTACAACCTCCACCTCCTGGGTTCAAGAAATGCTCCTGCCTCAGCCTCCCAAGTAGCTGGGACTACAGGCACCTGCCACCATGTCTGGCTACACATTTTAGTAGAGACGGGGTTTCACCATATTGGCCAGGCTGGTCTTGAACTCCTGACCTTGTGAGCCACCCGCCTTGACCTCTCAAAGTGCTGGGATGACAGGGTGAGCCATCATGCCCAGCCAATGACCTCCTTTTTCACCACGAAGTAAGAGGATTTATCTTTTGCTGCGAGTTGGAAGAGGAGAATAAGAAGTGTAAGGAAACTAGAGGTGATTAGTCTGAAATAATAATTGAATAGGAATATGAATTGCAGAAGAGTTATTCCCAGAGAGCCCAGCTAAAGCTAGAGATGAAATGCTCCACTGAAGTAGAGATTCTTTGCTCAAAGCAGAGTTGGGTTTCTGTTAAACCCAATAGGTAGAGAGAATGCAGTGAGAAGGATCCAGATGCTAGGACAATTGCAGGAAAATTTGGGAAGCAGGGCAGGTTTGGTTAAGGGGGTCAGTTGCCACTGACTGCAAGGGGGTGAGAATAAAGTGAAAAACAGGAAACTAGAAGCACTGTTTGAATAGTAAGTGAGGACGACAAAAGAGTATTAGCTGGACTTAATTAAAAGTAATGTATTAAAAGATACTTTTTACAAAAATCTTTTCATAGTCATTACCTTGGAACTTGAAAATGGGCAATAGGATAGAGTGGGGAAATTTTACTTTTGACTTTACATTCTTCCATACTGTTAGAAATACGTTCTATGCCATGAGCAAGTATTACAATTGTTATTAAAAGCTAGCTAGAGTATCTATTAACAGGGTATGCAGTTAACTAGAGTACATATTAATTAAGTACTTTTTTAGAGACAGGGTATTGCTTTGTCACCCAGGCTGGAGTGCAATGGCACAATCATAGCTCATTGCAGCCTCAAACTCCTGAGCTCAAATGATCCTCTCTGGAGGCCTCAGTCCTACAGGCACATGCCACCATGCCTGGCTAATTTTTTTTTTTTTTTTTGGTAGAGACAAGGCTTCATCATGTTGCCCAGGCTGGTTTTGAATTGCTGTACTCAAGTGATCCACCTACCTCCGCCTCCTAAAGTGCTAAGATTACAGGCATGAGCCACTGTACCTGGCCTTAGAGTACATTGTTTTTTTTTTTTTTGAGACGGAGTTTCGCTCTTGTTTCCCAGGCTGGAGTGCAATGGCGCGACCTCGGTTCACCTCGACCTCCGCCTCCTGGCTTCAGGCAATTCTCCTGCCTCAGCCTCCTGAGTAGCTGGGACTACAGGCACGCGCCACCATGCCCAGCTAATTTTTGGTGTTTTTAGTAGAGACAGGTTTTCACCATGTTGACCAGGATGCTCTCGATCTCTTGACCTCGTGATCCACCCGCCTCGGCCTCCCAAAGTGCTGGGATTACAGGCTTGAGCCACCGCGCCGGGCCTAGAGTACATTCTTAAAATAAAAGCACTGATGCGGTGAGATTTTACTGTTGGAAACGAGAAGTCCTTCCAGTCTTAAGTCCCTACTTCATTTCCTACTGTAGGGTCCTCACATTAACCTGTAGACTTCCATTTCCTGACACCCTTCCTCTTGTTCTCCTTCACTCTAAATCACTTAGGACTGAAGGTGATGCGAAAATGTTTCTGAGAAAAGAAATCAAGGAATTGAACTGCATACCGCACAGATTTTTCTGTCTAATGAATTCGGTTGCATAGGCTGGGATCATTAGGGATGACCCTAGGAGGTGGAAAAATTGACAGAGTAAAGATAATATGACATTCCTATTAAATGAGCTAAAGGTCTAAACACTCTAGAAGGTTAGTCTGGAAAGCTTCCCAAGTCAGTTGTTTACCTTACCTATCCTTTTACAAACCCTTTCTTGATCCTACCTGAATCAGATAACCCCATGTGATTTTATCTAAAGCATCCGGAAAAAATAGAGGAAGAGAAATGAAAGGAGTGTTTTGCCTTAGAGTCCACTACCTAGCTTTACAGTACATTTACCCAATTATCAAAGAGCCTTTGTTGCCAAACATATAAAAAATGTGAAAGTATTTGGCACAGTGAGAATTCTGTTATCAGATCTGAAGGTAGCATTTGTTATTATAGTGCTGGTTGAGCAAGGTCTTGGAAAATTATCTTAATGTTTATTTGACATTAGCTCTTAGAGTAAATTCCAACAGGTGACTTTTAAAAAACGCTCATCAAAGAATTGCAGCTGGAATGTAGAACTAGCCTAAAACTGAGAAGATGGATGCTGTAACCCAAGCAGTTTTATAAACTATCAGCCAACTTTTGTAAAGCGTTGCTATGATTAAGTAGTTTGCATAGTTTTTATGTAAATTTCCCTTTGGTTTACAAACTTGATTTATAGGTCAAAATTTCCTTCAACTTTAAAAATTCAAATTTCACTACTCTTGTTTACTTCTAACACTGGTTTCTGTGGTATGTGATTGGAGGATAATCTGTGGCTATCTAAAGACTTGTGTTTATATTTTGCAAGGTACCTTTCTTTGTATATGCAGGAATTCTCTTGTTATTGTGAAATCTGTCCTCTCCTCTTTGTTATTTATGAAGGAGTGCTGGAAAAATCTGGGGTGTCTCCAGTCCTCTTAAGCACATATTTTGACCATTATTTTATGTGTGAGACTAAAATACTCTGCTGGAAGCATTATTAACACACACCAAGAGATACTTTAACATAGAAAATCTTTTTAAAGTATGTTTCAATCACCATTAATTGGCTTCTCAGAAACCTCTTATTGTATCTTTCTGGATTCCTCCACCAAAGTTGTTTTTCCTGTTTTGATAACAAAAATTAATTTGTTATAGTTATAGGCGAAGAGAACTTGACTTTTTTTGTCTCAGGCCTTTTCATAAATGCTCTTCCTTCATTTAATTTTCTACAGAGCTTTCACCAGGTTTGAAAAGCATACATTAAGCAATACTCATAGCAACCGTTCTTTCCACTGAATGAATGGAACCATAAAGGTTACTCTACAGGCCATCTGAATAAGCTAATTTAGCCACTGCCTGTGTATGTTAACCAGAAGAGGAATATTTCTGTGCCATTTTTTAAGGAAGATGTATCTTAAATGTGCATTTTTTAGTATGAAGTGACTTAAACTTGGACAGTGTTTGAAGTTAACTGATTCAAGCGGTATTACTGGTAATCATGATAGTGTAAAATTATTTAGCATGTGTAAAAATAAAAAAGAAAGGAGCAAAACTCTACCAGAATTTTTATCCTTAAGATGCGACTATCAAGATCACTACTATTGATGAGGTTGGAAAGCTGCCATTTCATTAAGTGTACCTTTTCTATTAAAATAAAGATTTTTGGAAAAATATAAATCCTGAAGGCCTGGTGTGGTGGTTCTCATCTGAAATCCCAGCACTTGGGAGGCCAAGGCAGGTGGATCGCTTGAGGCAAGGAGTTTGAGACCAGCCTGCGCAACATGGGGAACCCTCATCTCTGCAAAAAATACAAAAATTACCCAAGTGATGGCACACACCAGTAGTCCCAACTACTTGGGAGGCTGAGGTGGGAAGATTGCTTGAGCCTGGGAGGTTCAAGCTGCAATGAGCTGAGATCACATTTCTGTACCCCGGCCTGGATGACAAAGCAAGATCCTGTCTCAAAATAAAGAGTAGAAAAGAGGAGAGGAGAAGAAAGAAGAGGAGAAGAGATGACAGGAGAAGAGAGAAAAAGAAACCTTGAAGTATTGATGGTAGTTCATCATTGGTGTGGTGCTGGGTGAATACATTCAAATGGTTTCATGCACAGTGGTCTTAATGGGAAATCAGCTTGTTTGGCATAACATCCACAATAATATTACCCCCATATAGCTGTTACTGATTCAACAGTATCAAGATTTTCATACATTGACCTCATCTGCCTAATTTTCTTTCTTAACTGTTAAAGCAATTCCCAAAAGTCATGTCATGCATTTCACTCTTTCATTTATTGGTATGTATCTCGTAAGCCTTGACATCACCACAAGCCATTATCACATATTACAAACTGTGAATAAACATTCTCTCGTATATCTATCTTGGAACATTGCATAAACGTAGCAAAACTATTTTCTGTCAGAAATACCTCAGGGGAAGGGTACTCGTGAATGGAGAGGCATACATCTCCTCTGAAGGCAATTGTGTTTGCGCAGTTTTCTTCTCATGGCCAAATTAACTGAAGGAAAAAGAGAGCATTAGGAGCAATTTTCAGAGGTTTAATTATTGTTTAATCTAGACAATGTAAACATATATTTTGGAACCAAACTAGACTGTGGTTACTTGCTATTTGTTCAGATGTGATTCTGAAATTAAGAATCAATGTGATGCATATACACAAGGGGTGTTCCTAACAGTTCATGTTAATAGTGAGATCTTCTTTTACATTTATTTATTTATTTAATCCCTATTGTTAAGCAATATACCAAGGTCTAAAGAGTAATATCCTCCTCCTTTTACATGATTTTTTCCTAAATGCTCCTAGACCCTTTATTTTATGTAGCAAATTAATCACAAATATTTTGTGAGAACATTGTCCAAGCTATTCTGTGTTTCCGAAAAGTATAAATGGTTTGAACAGTGACTGCTGTAAACAATAAGAAGTGATCGAGCTGTTTTCTCAAAGTTGCTGACTTGAAACTTTTTAAAAAATTTATGTAAAAGAACAGACCAGGGGATATCATTTAAAATAAATTCACAGTGGTCAAACTTCCAATTAACTAAAAAGCAAAGTCTGAACTTTTAACAAGTAATGCATCATTTTCTATTCTAACTGGTGAAGCATATTATCATGTGAATAATCTAACATATTTGGATGTAAATATTGCCACCTTTTTATTTAAAGTTGGGTTTGTGAATTTCCTGAGTCAGAAAACTTTTAACTTTCTACTTTCTTTTCCTTTTTTTTTCATTCTTTCTTTTTTTAACTTACCAGTTCTTCAAAATCTTAGCTATTTGGATTTGAAGTAAAAGTACATTAGAATAATTTTGTGTACTAAATTTCTGTTAAATACAATATAGTTGATATCATCTTTGAAGATGTGTCAAATAAATTAATATTATATATCTTTACCATACATATTTTTGACACTTTTTTGCTCTATAAGCATAATAATAACAACTGCACTTAATTGTTTAAGTGACATGCCTAGTTTCATAACTAGAAATAACAGCTATTGACTTGTTTTAAGATTTCATCTGCATTTTGTCACATTATGCTTTTTGTATGTTAATTCAGTCCCTACACCAGCCAGCAACATACTTATAAATAAAATTATTTGGAGTTCCCATTTTACCCAAAAATTTATAGATTTCTTTACCTCTGTAATGAATAGACCAACATTTCTGTTTCATTTTACTTGTAAAGACAACATATGTACAATAGCTTGGAGATCTATTTTGTTTGCGTTTAGAAAAAAAGTGGTAAAATACTTATCATTTCAAAGTCAAGCTATTTTTAAAATATTGAAGTAATAGACCCAACAGGATAGACAGCATACTTTCAAAGTCCTACACATTTATCCCCAGTTCTACTAACCGCAAGCACACCTAAGTGGCTTTCAGATAAACACAATCATGCTCAGAGACCCAGGGATGCAACTGGCAAAACAAGTTACTTGTACAAATGGTATCAAAGGCCTACCTGGTCTCTGTCCGCTGATAAGGAGAAGACTCATAATAAATATAAAAAATGCAAAAAGGAATTTCTGAAATCTCATTTTCCTACCGCACAAAAGTGGAGCAATGGCTCTCAATGTAAACCAAACGATCTGTAAATAGTCTGTGCAATATCTGTGTGGCTGTCTTCACATTCTAATGACAAACCTCAGAGAACTGCCAGCTGCGTTTTCCAGGAAGGTTAATGATCACATCAGACAAGGTTGCCGTGCTCTGTACTGTGGTCAGAGCCTCCCTCAACCTCAAACCCCTCCTCCACTCCTCTCCTTTCTCCTCTGGCACTCCCCTTTATTTCCATAAGCAAATATTGGTGAAATAAACCATTCAAGCATGCTGTAATTTCAGTGGAACTATACTCTGAAAGCTCCAAAAAGAGACTGACTTAAATTCAATCTGGATACGAAGAAATATGTAAAACAATATGTGACACTGCTTCCTCCCCTTACCATTTGCATCCGTTTAAACTTTGCTTATATTGGTCCCACATGCAGAAACCGGTGGAAATGACAGGAAGTCTCTCTTTTGTCCTTTTCAGAAGGAATTCTGAAGCCCTAACATAAGACCCCCAAATGCTTTGTGGCAGAACATATGCCGAAATGCTTTATCTTCACCAAGCCTACTACAAAGAGGTTCCTGTTTGCACTAACCCTCCAAATTACCTAACTCATGTGGGTTTGTATTGGTAAAGATTTTGGAAATTTTGAATGTTTTGAAATAAATCTGCAAAACATTTACATTTCTTTTAATATTTGGTAAATGCAATTTTAAAAGTAACGAAGATTATTTGCATCTGCAAATGTCCAGGATTTTAAAAAAGGAAGTTCAAGCAAGCCACAAACTCATGAAATCTATGTTGTGTTAAAAATTTATGTGTGCTGGAATACCAGGCTAACACACCACAGTCACAGAAATTGGAGATGGAGAAAAAGCATCTTAGTTTATCTCCCAATGAATTCAGAAGACACAAAAACAATCTAGTCTTGGCCTTCTCACACATACACCAAGATCTCTTTTTGTTTCAAGAGAATATGTCAGATAGAGCTGTCATAAATGGAAACGACTATACTTATTATGTAAGTATAATAAATTCCATTTATGACAGCTATATCTAACATATTTTAGGTAAAATGCAAAATACCAAAAGAATAGTGTAGATATAGCCTGAAAAAGAACAACTAGAGTACTCACTCTAAAGCATATGGAATTTGTTTTGAATTGTTAGGAGTTTTTGCTGTATTTGGTTTCTTTAGACTCAGGAAGTTGGTCCATAACCTTGGGCCTCCTGAGGTTTGAATTTAATGCCCAATTTGTCTTGATGTACAATAAGTCAATCTGTAAATTTCCCTACCTGTCTAGTTAGGCATGCAGTTTATAACAGGCAATGGCATACAGGGATTCTTAAAGTCACTCTATTGAAGTATTGAAAATATATTGACCTATTTGGGACTTGAAGCATAGTGTTAAAGGATACTACTTTACCATGCTGTACATCGCTTCGTAAAATCAATGGGATACAATACAGTTTGAACTCATGATATAAAAGTGACTTATGAATGGCAAAGAGTTGCATTCTAACAGAGTTGAATGTTAAATCAATAAGAGATCAATATAGATTTTGGCACTAAAACTTCGCGCCACGTTTTAAGTCTATTCTTCTTATAGTAGTGAGTCTTCTTTATAGATAAGATGGAGACCTACCACAGACAGCAAATATTGACTAACATTTTTACATTTCATTACCAGGTAGTCAACAATGAATTCCTAGAATATCGCTAATATATACCAGTGCCGTGGAAGACGCATGTGTCCACTGATCAGGACTGAGCAAACTGTTATGTTTAAGTTATGTAACCACATAGGACATACTTTTTTTCATAAAAAAAAAAGTGATGAAATACTTGGTTTTCTACCTGAAAGAGTGCTTATGTGTTAAACTCAAGAAAATTTAGACGTGATTTATTTTACATATTTTAAAATTATTGTTTCGAAAAAAAAGAAAAAGGTGTTTAAACAGTTGACTTCTGGAGTATAGTAATAAAGTGATTACACAGTTAATGAGCAAACTGAAATGCTAGACAGGAGGGACAATGACAAGTAATGCAGCATTTCTGTGGAATGGAGTACAAAGTAGCAATGAACTATTCATCTTAGTGCTGAATAATTAGATGTGGTGAAATCTTGGTAGGAAAGTGTCAGAACAATGCCACTGGCTCTGCAAACAGCACTTTTGGCCTGCAACTATAGGAGAACAAGGAATCTTCTTTGTTTACATGAACACAAACCTAGACTTCCACCCAAGTGACAGTCTTTGTGAGAGAGGCAAGCACTGTGCCTCTGGGCCAAATCCTATATTAAGTGTGTAGCATTCATTACTTCGCATAACCCTCCCAAAACACTCTGAAGTATGCCTCCCTGTTTACCAGATGAGAAAACTGACAGCTAAGGAGATGTAGCCTCCAAGGGCTGGAAGAATAGATCAGATCCAAATTCCATAATCTCAGCTTTCAACCATTTTACTATCCTTCCTTTTAAGGCCCAAATCCTAGTTCTTACTAAAAAAAAAAAAAAAAAAAAGCTTATCGAAGTTATTATAAAATAAAAGATAAGTTAGCAATATATTTCTTTTTTGTTTTGTTTTCTTTGTTTTGTTTTGTTTGTAGATGGAGTCTCGCTCTGTCCTCCAGGTTGGAGTGCACTGGTGCAATCTCTGCTCACTGCAACCTCTGCCTCTAGGGTTCAAGTGATTCTCCTGCCTCAGCCTCCCCAAGTAGCTGAAATTACATGCGCCCAACACCACGCCTGGCTAATCTTTGTATTTTTTTTTTTTTAGTAGAGATGGGTTTTCATGTTGGCCAGGCTGGTCTCATACTCCTGACCTCAGGTGATCCGCCCACCTCGGCCTCCCAGAGTGCTGGGATTACAGGCATGAGCCACTGTGCCTGGCGGTTAGAAATACTTTATTGTATGAGGTTGAATACTGTGCCACCTAAAATTTATGTCCATCTGGAACTCAAGATGTGGTCTTATTTTAAAATAGGGTCATTGCATGGGGCACGGTGGCTCACACCTGTAATTACAGCACTTTGGGGGGCTGAGGTGGGTGGATCACCTGAGGTTGGGAGTTCAAGACCAGCCTGACCAACATGGAGAAACCCTGTCTCTGCTGAAAATACAAAATTAGCTGGGCATGCCTATAATCCCAGCCACTTGGGAGGCTGAGTCAGGAGATTCCCTTGAACCTGGGAGGCAGAGATTATGGTAAACCGAGATTTTGCAATTGCACTCCAGCCTGGGCAACAAGAGTGAAAGTCCGTCTCCAAAAAAAAAAAGAAAGAAAGAAAGAAAAAAAAAATAGGGTCACTGCAAATGTAATCAGTTAAGATTGAGATCATCCTGGAGTAGGGTGGGTCCTAAATCCAATGTGGTAGCTGCTGTCCTTAGGAAAATGAAGAGGGCCGGGCGCAGTGGCTTACACCTGTAATCTCAGAACTTTGGGAGGCCGAGGCGGGAGGATCACCCGAGGTCAGGAGTTCGAGACCAGTCTGACCACCATGGAGAAACCCCTTATCTAGTAAATTACAAAAATTATCTAGGCATCATGGTGCATGCCTGTAATCACAGCTACTCGGGAGGCTGAGGCAGGAGAATCGCTTGAACACGGCAGGTGGGTGGGTAGTGGAGGTTGTGGTGAGTGGAGAAGAGCCATTGCACTCCAGACTGGGCAACAAGAGCGAAACTCTGTCTCAAAAAAAAATAAATAAATAAAAAGACCGGGCGCAGTGGCTCAAGCCTGTAATCCCAGAACTTTGGGAGGCTGGGGCGTGTGGATCACGAAGTCAAGAGATCAAGACCATCCTGGCCAACATGGTGAAATCCCGTCTCTACTAAAAATACAAAAATTAACTGGGCATGGTGGCATGCACCTGTAGTCCCAGCAACTAGGGAGGCTGAGGCAGGAGAATTGCTTGAACCTGGGAGGCGGAGGTTGCAGTGAGCCAAGATTGTGCCACTGCACTCCAGCCTGGCTCCTGGCAACAGAGTGAGACTGTCTTAAAAAAAACAAAAAAGAAGAAGAAGAGGAAGAAGAGACAGAGACACACAGACGGATAGGTGAGGAAGAGCCCTGTGATGACAGAGGCAAGGATGAGAGTTGTACTGCCTTGGGCCAAGGAACCAATGCCAAGGATCACCAGCAACCACCAGACATTAGGGAAGAGGCATGGAGCAAAACCATCCTTTGAGTCTCCAAGAAAGAATGACCTCTACTGACACCTTGATTTTGAACTTCTGGCCTTTTGAGTTTGGAAGAATTAACTTACGTTGTAACAAAGTCACCCAGTTTGTGGCACTTTGTTACAGCAGCCCTAGGAAATCAATACATTTCTGTACCTACATATATTCTATAAGGATATAAAAATCCCTATGTAATCCAATAAAAATATACTTATTTTTATAGTGGTATACTATATATGCCAGGTATTTAACCAATGTTATTTTGTTTACACATCGTAATCTTATGATGTAAGTTCTATCTCCATTTTACAGATAAGGCAATAAACTCAGAGGATTAAGTGATTTGCCCCAAATAAAATAGCTCATAGCAAAGTCAATATGAGGCCTGTAACTCTCAGGCCTGGGCCTCTCATCCCTTTGATGAGGGATCTTGTGCCCTAACTTTTCCTGGGAGATTCTTCCTAATTGATGTCATCTTTGCCACTTTCATCTTCCTTCTTTCCTTGTTTGCTGCGTCCCTCTCTCCCTGTAAAAATACTCTTTCCAACCTAAAATTTCTCTCCCTTTGCCCATTATCATTCAGCTAGATGTCTGAAATGGAGTCCACCCTGATTGTCCTACTCCCCCACCAGCTTCTCCTTGATATTGGACTCCAGCTTTCCCCACTATACTCAAATTAGTATGTCTCAGAGTTTCACTCTTTCACCCAGCCTGGAGTGAAGTGGTACAATCTCAGCTCACTGCACCTCCACACCCCACTTCAGGTTCAAGTGATTCTCCTGCCTCAGCTGGCTGAGTAGCTGAGACTATAGGCGCCTGGCTAATTTTAGTATTTTTAGTAGAGATGGGGTTTCATCATGTTGGCTAGGCTGGTCTCCACCCCCGACCTTAGGCAATCCACCTGCCTTGGCCTCCCAAAGCACTAAGATTATAGGCATGAGCCACTGCCCCTTGCCTAAACTTTCAAATGTGGCTTTTTCTGTGGACACTTCATGGCATCCAAATTAGGCTACTCTCTGCTCACATTTTTCTCTTTTCTTCTTTTTGTCATGCTTTGTGTTTCTTTTCCTGTTTTCTTTTTTTTTTTTGAGACGAAGTCTTGCTCTGTCACCCAGACAGGAGTGCAGGGGCCCAATCTTGGCTCACTG